CCCCCCCCCCCCCCCCCCCCCATTTTATCGTTCCTTTGGTGCTGAGCGTGGGGCTGACGCGGAGCCATGCTTTAACGCCAGTGCGGGTAATTCAGTCACCTCTCTCAAAATGTCCCAAGGGATCCAGTGTCAGTGGCCCTGGGAGACCGGGACGCCCAAGTAGGAAAGGATGGAGCATCTTTCCTTGGGAAGAGGCCACAGACGGCCCCCTCGGAGTCGCTGTGCATGTCCTGGATGCGAGGAACGGGGTATCCCCACCCGGCACACAGCCGGGAATGCTGTGCCCACATCGTCACTTGTTCGCAGGCGCCGCGGTTGCGACCCTACGATAACAGCAGCACAAGAGCAGGGATGCAGGGATGCCTGCCGGACGCTTTCTCGGGAGGGAATTTCTCTCTCTGTTGCCTATTCCCACCGTGACACTTTCCCCCCGCCCCGACGGTGGGGTAATGAGGAGAGCGGGGCTTGAAGCTCTAAGCACTGTCTGAGCAGGAGATTGAAATGTCGCTCAGGAAAGGAAACGCTGTGTCCCTTCAATGTAATCGCCTCTCCCGATAAGCTCCGACAGAGCCGATCTATGCAGATGTGAATTTGATGATGCCATAAACGGAGAAAGGGCCATTAAAACGACAAAACTCTGGACATATTGTAATAAAACGCACTCCAACCCTGATCAATTCCGAAACAACCCGATTCAGTGTCTAAGGCTCCATCAGTGAATCCCTGGCAGTCAGGTGGCAGCTTTTTGGGGTGAGACCCGGAGCCAGCCCAAGCTGACAGGGCCGGGGCCCGTTGGTCGAGGGATCAAATGTGAGTCTCGGGGCTCCGGTGAAGGAACAGGATAAGGCTCCGAGGCAGCTCCGTGACTACCTGGAATGGCAGCCAGAGCGCTGCTCCCCTACTTTACCATTGTGACAGTGATCCCAGTTGCCTCCCACTACGGGGTGGACTTGGGAAGACCGGGCCCCACCAGCCGTACCCTAACCGGGGTCGGCGGCGAGATGGGGACGAGTCTCGCTTCCCTCGCGGATAAATGCTTCGAAGCATCCTCCACGGCTCAGCTGCTTCCCGGACGCGACCCGTGGCAGCTGCTGGGGATGGAGACGAGCTGCCCCAAGCCACTCTTGTCCTTAAAAAAGAGGGATCCCGATCCACTCCTAGATGCCTTTGCGGCCCTTCGGGCTTCTTTTCGTTTTGACTGGCACAGGATTCCCCCTCGCCCCCGGCCCTATCCAGCTATCGGGGCTTCTCAAGGAGGTTGCGGAGAGAACCTCTCGGCCGGGTTTCACGCCTTTTCTCCCCACTGTTTTGCCCGCTTTCTTTGGTTTCCCCGCCCGCTTCGGCCCAGAGCTGCAGATCCGGGAGAGGAGTATGGACCCTGCGACCAGACCCGCACACTGGAGCCTGGGCGAAGGCCTGATCTCTCCCTCTTCGCTTCCTCCTCGTTGCTTTTTTTTTTTTTTTTTTCCCCTTATTTCGTTAGATCCTGAGCGGGGAACTGCGACCCAACGCCTCTCAAGCTGACAAGTGCCTGATGGGGGACACCGTTCGCAGGGAAATATCTTCCCCCTCCCCTTCGCGTTCACGTCGATATCCTCCCCGCAGGGCTGTTTCACCCTGGGCTGCCTCTTGGGCAGACGCTGGGCTCCCTATCCTCCTCCTTCAGCCTCAGCCTTACTTCTTGATCTGAAAAAATAATTTCCGACATTTTTCCGGGGGGAGTCAGGGCAGGGCATGGTTGCGGGGGAGCGCGGGGTGCAGGGCGCTGCTGCCGCTGCCGCTGCCGGCCCTCGGGCCCGGGGCAGGCGGTGCTCGGAACCGGAGCGGACACCGCGCCTCGGGCCGACGCTCATTGTCGCCTCGGGCCACGGGGCTGGTGCGGACTGGGGGATAATGGGGCCAGCAGCACAGCCCGAGAACTCCCGTCCCAGGTCAGAGACGTCCCCGTAAGTCCCGGGAAGGGCCGAGTGCTGCGCCCGCGATCCCTTCTCCACAGACTGCTCCCACTCGGCGGGACCCCTGTGGGAATGCGGATTCACCGTCTTTATTTCTTTCTTTCTTTGCTTTGTGGTATAACTCCTTTTTCTGTGATTTAGGAGAATCTCGGGGTGGGGTGTGGGGCATCTTTCCGTCTCCCTCCACGTTAACGACACGGAACAGGGAGCATTGTTTACAAGGTAAAGAAAAAAAAAATCCCGCTTGAAAGCCCTTTGGCGGCCATGGAGAGAGAAGAGAAGGGAAGGAGGAATCGTGTGTTAGTTAGTCCGACCTGTGGAATTTATGACTCCCCCTAAGCACAGACATGATAAGGACTTAGAAAACATCTTGGATCTTTTCAAGCCGGCAGCCCCCGAGGCTTTGATGTAGATTACATTGCAGAATAACCCAATACTTTTATCGTAGGGTTGATACTCGTCTTGTTTAAGCACATGCCTCTAGGAGGGGGTTAGATGCTGAACGCTCGCTCCCGAGCGGATTCGCGTTGCTGGGAAGAAAGCAGGCGGGGAGGGAAGGTGGCACCTGGTGCCTGGCCGGGCACAGCCGCCCCGTACCAGCACTGCCACGGGCCGGCCCTGCAGCCCCGGCCAGCCCTGCCTCTTTGCACAGGTGCTGCCAGGCCTGAGTTCTCATGGCCCTGTTCTCCTTCAGGAAACAGGAACGTAAACAGAGAAGAAGGAAAAAAAGTCGTATGGTACACCAGAAGCCTTTGCAGCCAGAGGCTGGTGAGGGTGTCCCCAGCGTCTCAGATCCAGTGGCTGGCACACTTCTGCTGACCAAGGAAATAGCCATGGCTGGATTTTATTATATTAATTTTCTTTACTTTACCTTACTCTGTTATCTTTTTTAAATGTCACAGAGGAAGAAGGCCGCACCAGGGCGCCCCGGCTGCCAGCAGAGCGCTTGTGCCCGGCCCCTGCTGGCATGTCCCGCCCGGGACAGCCGGGGCCCGCTCCTGTCACGGGAGCCGTGAGTCACCGGCACAGCAGGATGGCCCCGACGGCGCGGGCCGGGCGGGGCGGGAGCGCTCCCTCTCACGGGAGGGGAGCCCAGGGCTCGCTCCTGCCCCCCAAGGACACCCCCCGCCCACCCGCGGACGCTCCCCGCAGCACGCAGGGCCGCTGTTATCTTCCCCGGGCCCGGCCGCGCCCGGCACGGGATGCAGCGGGAGCGCGGTGCTCCCCAGCCTCACGCTCCCGGCTTTGCGGTGAGGCACGGCCGGCACGGGACACCCAGGCAGAGGTTGTCCCTCTGTCTCCCAGTCCTCTCCCAGAGCCACGTCGCTCTCCGGGAAACCGCAAGCCCCGGCTCAGCTGGTGGGATGGAGCCACTGACACGAGTGTCGCCTCCCGTGCCAAGCAAAACACGAATTTGAGCTGTAAAATGGTTTGCACACATTTGCCAGCAGTGTGCCTGCCCCCGTGCTATCTCCCTCTCCCAAGGGCAATCTGAAGGCTGATGCCCTCACTGCTTTCCTCACTGATTAATCTACATTTCCCAGCTCTGAAACCTTAGCAGGGAGGTGATGCATGCCCCTTGGGTGTGTTGTCCCCATCTCCACCACACATGCTAGTCTTGCCTATTTTTCTCCACCATTCCCTCTGCTCCAGGCCCTTCCATGGCAAAACACTATGGGCTGGTTGCCCCATACCACTTTCTCCCCCAGCCTTGTGCTCCATGGCAAACCAAATCCTACAAACTCCTTCAGTGAGCAGAGGCGCAGGGTGTTGCTGACCCATGTAGAGGGTTTGATATTTGCAAGACCATGATTGCACACATCTCTGAAGGGCCATGGTGCTTTTTGGATAATATTTCGTGCTAGCAAATGTAGGAGCCCAAAGCAGACAAGTGCCAAGCGCTTCTTTGGCTTGGCAGGGAGCAGGCCAAGGCTACACGTGGAACCTTTCCTTGCAATGGGGCTGTAGGAATGCAGAAGAGACTCATCTTTCTCCGCCGACATACCTTTACCCTCCAACCCAAAACTTTAGTTCCTTCTGGCTCCAAGGAGATATTGGTACCTCACTGCTCTCCGTCTCACATTTGCTCCCAGTTATTTTATTCTAGTTTCTGAGAGGAAAAAGGAATCTCACTACGTTTTGTTTCTGGTCTGAAAAGAAGCCCCAAAAGGAGCTGAAGGCAGGGCCAGGTAGACCCAGAGCCAGCTTCCCAGCTGTGGCCCACACTCCCCTGCCCCAGGCTCTTCTCCATGACTCAGCTCCCAGGGACCAGCCCAGCCCTGCCTCAGTTTATCTTCACAGCCCCTCCTCACCCAGGGCTACCCTGCACACAGGAGGGTTTTTCACGGGAGAACCCAGTACACATCACGTAGTTACTTCTCCAAGAGAAGCATTTTGGAAACTTGAGCTAGGCATCTCTTTCTTTTTATGACCTGAAGCCTCTGAGCCTCCTCTGTAGACAGGACAGTCACGGCACTGGTGGGGCTGGAGGGCTTCATTAGAAGTAATTTCTGGGTGGATCCACCATCAGCCAGTGGATGCATAGAGGAAGGAGGGAGAGGAATCCTAGTGTACCTGGAAAGAGGCTTCTCTGGGCAGCCAAAACTGTCAAAGCTTAGCTATGGAGCAAAGGATCTTGAGTAGTTGCAGGCAATCCATGGCAGCAGGAGTGGGTCACTGTCAGCATCTCCTGCCTGTTTTCATCCCAGCTAAACAGTGTTTAAATGAACTGGATTCCACACCAGTCTTTATGTGCCTCTGTGGAGGCAACCACAGGAGCACCACTGCTTTTCCAACTCTCTCCACAAACAGGTCTTCAGAGATCTGAACCAGATTGTGTTGCAGGGCACCCACTCTTCTTCAAGGAGTGTTACTCTATCAGTTTTCTGGCACAGCCTTAAACATGTAAATTTTAATCTGTCAGTGACCTGTAAGGCAGGATCCCTGACCTAAGCACCTTCACTATTTATCTCATTACAAAGCATTTTAGGAAGCATGAATCTCACCCAGGTCTCAGAAAACCTGCCTGGAAGGACTCCTGCTGGGCCATTCCATAGTGCTGGGGTGCTCACCAAGGGTGAGAAGAAGTTGGGCTCAGGTTCCCTCTCTTTCTGAAGCCATTTGAGGCCTTCTCAACCACAGATCTGGGTGGGTCATTTTTAAAAAAAAGCTGTTTTTCTTTACATGGTCTAATTAATTAGCCATAGATGTGGGAGTGAAGGTGGCAGAATGGAAAGCTTGAGCCCTGAGCCACTGAGCACTTGATTTGATTCTGTGTCTGGGAGAAGGGGGCTGAGATTTGATGCATGGGACCCACTCATCTTTAGTATACTTTGATTTTTTGCCCCAAAATAATTTCCTGCAGAACTTCTGACTCTTAAAATATAACCTGCAAATAGCTCTGGAGTAACTGTGACCTTGGATTTCTTCATTGCTTTCACAGTGCCCTCCATGACCACGTGGACCGAAAGCCACTTCTAGCATGCGTGACAGGGTCACTTCTGCTCTTCTCTTCTGGTTTAACACATGGTTAGTCCTAACTTCTCTCAGAGGGACCCCACAGAGCCCATCCCAGGTATCCCAAAAGCATGACGTGATGGAGAAGCTCCTCCAGTTTCGATCGGGGCAGGGAAGGGTCTTTTTGGTCCCTGCTGCCTGTGGCACAGGGACATGGTTGGTTGGGAAAACGCCCTGAGCGGGGTGGGAGGCAGAGCGGTTTGTGCTGGTACTGCGTTTGTCCCATCGGTGCCACGAGGTTTTGGCTGTGGAGCCCTTTTGACCGACCCCCTCACCCCCAACCCTACTCTCCGGGTCTCCTGTAGCTGCGGTCCGGACACCGTGGCCGGCCCGAGGCCCGAGTCCCTAGTCCCGAGCCCCTGCTCCGTGTCCCCCGGAGCAGCCGCGGTGGCGGAGCTCCATCTAGCGCCGGCTGCGGCGGAGGAGCAGACCGCCCGTGCCCGGGCATCCCGCGGGGAGAGCTCCCCGGGACACGGCTGCGCTCCCGCAGGCAGAGGGGAAAGAAAATTCGGGCAGATTCCCCAGCGCCATCCTGTCTTTCAGCTTGGGCTGTCGAATAATATTTCTTCTTATTTCTGTTACTGTTGTGAGGGAGAGCTCAAATGTCCTTTGCCCTTCAGTTCTTTTAATTGACCTCAACCCTTCTATTGCTCTTCCTCCCGGATTAATGATTACTGGATCTTTGTCAGTCTGTGCCTAATTTAAGGCATCCAGCTTAGACTAAAGGCATCTCTGCTGGAGGTCTTCAAACAAGCTTAACTCTCTCCACTCACTACAGGGGGCAGTTCATCACTTTCTCCTGACAACGTGCTTCTGGAGGCACAGATTAGAGGTCTGGATCCTAATGAGAGTAATGTGGGCATTTCCCTTCAAAGATCATGAAACTGATCTCTAAACAGCAATGTATGTGGCTCTGCACAAACCTCAGAATGGACCACTACTTTGCTAAGTTGTGTGGGAAGCATCCTGGAAAGAAAATGTCCTAAAAGAAATTATTTTCCACTCAGTACCTCCTGCAGCTTTGTTCCATCCATCTCTTCTGTGTGTAGAAGCAGATGCACAACTTCCCACACCTTCAGCTCGTACAGGAGGGTTTTTCTCCCAATTGCTCTTCCTCATGGAGTGCTGTGTTGCCTGAGCTGCTTTTCATGTGTGAATCATGAGAAGCTGGACTTTCTTCAAGGTTTTCTATTTGTGTTTATATTCCCAAGTCTCAGCTCAGTAGTGATGATGGGGCCAGATGAGCTATGTCCAGTTCTTTTCAAGTCTTGTGGATAAACCTGTGACACAACTCCCTGGCCTGTTTTTAAGTACGTGGGATTCCCATCTGCTCCTCTTTGAGCCCAGTTCACATCTGCTTAGTTTCTAGGGCTTGGAAGTGAGCAGTTCAGCATTAGGTTCCTCTAAATTTGAAGGCTGAAGTCTTCTGTCTTCACAAGATGCTTAGCTCCCACTGTCCAGCCACTGCAGGCTGTGTGCTATCAGTGTTGAACAGCGACATCCGACAGATGAACACTTTCAAACTGTTATGGATATGTTAAAAAGAACATAAGTTTTCCAGAGAATGTGATGTTAAAATTTATTTCTGTCCAAATGTCTCCAAATTGCTCTTCGATTTTTATCTGATTAAAAAATTGATGATTCATTGATAATTATTAATAACATTATCAAAAATATACAAATAATAGTCACTGTATTGCAACATTGTTTTCAGACAGTGTTAGTAAAGAGCAGCTCAATTTCTGTGATAGCATACTCTATGCAAACAGTTATTATTTTATAAGACATGCCTCTGAAAAATCCTAACTGAACATAGCACCTTGTAAAACGTAAAAGAGAAAACAACTATTAACAAATATATTCTCATTTTGACCCACTGTGATGTAGACAAATGTATCCTATTAGTCATGATGAAAGTTGCATTTAGAAATTCCTAAACCTCATAGTGAAAATAGCTGTCTTTTTAAGTATACTGAAAATACACCAAGCCTCTAGGTATTGTCCTGAGAGTCTGCGAGGAAGTTAAAGAGGCATAACTTCATTTTAGTGCAGCAGTGTTCATACACCCAGGCTGAATTCTGTGGATTTGGAGTGATGATAGTACACTCCCAAAATACAGAATGCAATTTCTTCAAAATTAAACATTTTTTAATTTGCTATTAAAACACACAAAGCCCCATGAATGGAATTAGCTGTAACTCAGCTGAAGTGAGATTTCCAGCTGGAGACTGCCACCTGGATTTTCCAGACCAGGGAGGTAGAAGGTTATCTCCAAATATCACTCCTTCTGGTTACTTTAGATGCTTATTTTAGGCAGAAAAGAATCCTTCCTGTCAGTGCCTATCTCTGATCAGCAGTTGCAGAATGTAGCCTGGCTGAGTAGAGGCCACATGAGTAACTAAATCTTGATAAAATGAACTCACCTGAGCACCCATCACCCATACTTCACAACCACTGAGGTGTCCAGGGTAAGACAGTTACACTCAATCAAATTAAGAGCTCCTTGTAAAACAAGACTGATGGAACTGTAAAATTTGGACATCTAAAATTGGTGACTCCAGTGGTTTTTTTTTTTTTCTCAACACTTCCTGACATCTGGAGATGAAGATATGAATAGCACTTCTGGAAATCACAGCAGTTCTCTTTAGCTGCATAGTCAATGCTTGTAAACATTGACTAAAATTACCGTGGATTCTCTCATATTTTCTTGCAATGTGGCAAGAACACTATAATTCAATATGTTGATTGGGCACTATTTACATAGCACCAGGAAAAGAGATATTCAGTTGGAGAGAGGCAGCAAAAATACCTGTCTTGCTATAGATATGTTTGCTGAATTCAAACAAATTAATGACACCTTCTTCTCAAAAAGTCACATAAATATGGACTGATCCACAAGAAACTAAAACAGTGCAGCAGTTGATGAAAATTCCTTTTCTTAGAGCTGATATAAAACACTTATCTTACACAGAGTTTATGACAATATTGAGACCAAATCCACAACTCAAATTATTTTTCAACTTGAGGGTCTTCATGATGGAGCACAACTGGGGACAGCAAAGATTCCTCATCCCTGCTTACATGAGGTTTAGTTTTGATGCTAGAATGGTGTGCAGCAAGGTTTTCCTTTGAATTATGGTAAATCTAGAATTGGGAAGAGGAAATAAAAGATATCTTCTGTTATTATTTATTGTATTTGGAAAACTGCTCTCCTCCCCATGAAGCAGGCACTGAGAAATAGTGTATTTAGTCCAGAGTGGATACCCAAGTAGCAATTGGTAATTTGGAAAGGAATTGTTCATCCTCCCTGAAGAGGAGATAAACATCTGGTATGGACAGAACAGGACTTCCTAGAATCATCTTTATTATTTTGACCTTTGAGAATGACATACAGCATTCTGTCTGTGAGGACATGGCATGGTGACCCCTCATGAGACCCCCCGGCCCCCAGCCCAGGCTCAGCTCCCCTCCCATGGCAGCTAGCAGCATCACCAAACCTGACTGCACTGGCTGCTGCACAAGGGAAGCCCATTCCCTCAGCACAGGCTGAGAGACTTCAGCTTTCCAGAGTCCCAGTGCAGGCAGTGGGAGGAAGAAAATCCTCATCAGGAAGGTCAGGATTCTTTCTGATAGCAGAAAAATATGCCCCAAGCTCTTAAATGGATCCATGGGCAATGTATCCATAACAGACTCGTGTACTTCAATAGAAAGCAGGAGGTTATCCCTCAGCTCATCATGATCTGTGGAACTACATATAAACCCCACAAAAACCTGAACCTGAACCCAGGCATTGTTCACACGTTCATCTCACTGTATTTACTTACTGCTCCTTCTGCCTCAGCCAGCTGACAGGCCAGAGAGGAGACCAGGTAAGAAAAAGAGGGTCTTTTCCTGGAGTCAAGAGCCCAACAGGACTGCATCATGCAATAGCTGCAGAAGGAAAGACATGGCACAGAAAACATGTCAGCCCTTGGACTCTCTGTAAGTGACTACGCGGAGTTGTAGGAGGTGAATGGAGAATCATGGGTATCAGAATGTTTTTATATGAAGAGACCAGAATTACAGTGTTGCATCAGAGGAAAAGAAGCAAAAAGATAAGGATAAAAGAAAGTGAAATGATCTTATAGTGATTTAATCAGAGTCCTTAGTAAAATCTTCTTTGTGGTATGACACATAATAGTGCCATGTTTGTTTTCCAGCTTCCATTGAGAAAATGTTAGGAAGACAATGCCATAGGGACTAAACCTGCTCCATGTGGACTATGTAATCTTAAGTAAACTTTTCACACAGAAAGACTTTTAATGTAATTTGACATCAAAAAAATCTTCCTGAAATTTAAACACCACCTTAGAAATATTGCAGCTTCATCAGGCATCACTGCTGTGCCTGACTGCTAAAGTCCCTTGCAAAGTTATGGGGACAATAGGCTCCCTGATATTTAAACCCCCCACAGCAATCTTTCATGGGTTAATCTGTCAGATTCCCCTGTATTTTAATGCCATTACAGCCTTTATGTGGTGAGGATAAGAACAGTGCAGTGTCATAGCAAGGCACTCTTTCCCTAGAGCATCTATGAAACCTCTGCCAGGAGAGCTCAGCCAACCCAAAGTCCTTCCCTTTCCTCCATGTTCCAGACCTCATAATTCTCTGTCACCTTCTCTTTTCTTATTCCCTGGGGCCCACTTCTAGGCAGAGTCCACCCAGGCACAGGGGCACAGGATGAAAATTATGATGAGAGCACAAAATTAGCTTCCCCCAACTCTTCCTTAGCAGGGTTTTTGTCTAAGAGTATCCCTAGCCACCTGGAACTGAAACAAACCTGGTAAAGCTCGATTAATAATAAAGTTTAGGAAAGAACCCACCAAAAATTTAGTCAATATGGAAAACATAGCTTTTTGGGGAAAAAAATAAAAGGAAAGAAAAGCAAAAAGAGAAAAGCAAAAGAAGCAGAAAAAAGGGGGAAAAAAAAATCTGTGGTCTGAGAATAAGAAGTTCCCTGGGGAAAGAAGGCACAATTAAATAAATATAATAAATTAGTCCTGTCAAATGCACATAACCTATCGTGTTGATCACTTCTGCTTTAGAACAAAACCTGCAGGATCAGGCAGTCTTTGTTAGATTTAGAGGAAGACCTCACGTTTTGCAACTAATTTTGGGTAAGAGATAGTGTACAATAAATAAAAGGTCATTCAAACAGTGACTTAATAAGTATAAATTCTCATGCTGTGGATCACTTGGAAGTACACTTACACATCTTTTGTAGCATAATACGGTTGGTCCATTTTAAATCCACTTTGTATTAATTTGTAGAAATTTGTGTCAACCTGAATACCAGGGTAAGGGTTTACACCTGTGGAAATTATCGGAGAATATGTGTTAATTCAGAAGCTGCCAAAACCAAACAGCACTCTTTTGTCCCACTGTAAAACATACCCAAGGAGAATATTTCCCAGAGCAGTATTCCATAGGACCAGACATCACTCTTCATGGTGTACGTCCTCTCGAACAAGCTTTCGGGGGCCATCCATTTGACTGGCAGTCGAGCCTGTGCAGACAGGGGGATGGAGGCCAGGTCATGCTGTGACACAGGCAGTGACACAGGCTTTCTAGGTGCCTCACTGTGCTTCTCACTGCCAGCATGATGGACTCATGTTTGCCGTGTGCAAAGCTGTGTCTCTGTCAGCAATCCCTGGACATTCCCATTGCAGAGAGAAATCGGCACTTCTAGAGAGCCAGTTTGTCTCATCCATTTTAGATGATTATTTAAGGAAGAGATGGGCTCAGTCCTGGAAGAGCCACCTTCCTTCCTCTGATTTCAAGCATAGAGTGGCCCAGATGGAGATGTGCACGCTGTACTTCTTCATAAAGCCAGAGGATCTGGCACACCCCCACACATATGCTGTTGTCCTACCCTGTTATGTAATGCTGTTATTGCCCACAACAGTAAACAAATCCCAGTGCTTCCATCAATGGGTGCTTTAGAAAGAGCATGGGTACCATCTCATTTACAGAACCAGCTTAGTTAGTTTAATTATAATCTAAGAATTTGCTTTTGCCAAGGGCAGGAAAAACTGAGATTTCTGCATTGCCCACACAGATATACACAAAGCTAGCAAGGAATTAAAAAATTTAAAACGTTTCTTTCTTAGTTCCTTATAATTCTTACCATGGTATGAAAACCATAAAACTCATGAACTTACATTGCCCCTGACAATGTAGTTGGAGTCGTTCATTACATCTCTGGCAAGACCAAAGTCACATATTTTCACCACTTTCCCATGGGTCACCAGTATGTTCCGGGCAGCGAGGTCTCTGTGAATGCACTTAGAATGAAAGGAAGGATTAACACTCAGCAGCATTTGGTATCAGTGGTGGACAATTCCCTGCCCTCTGAGTTTGCCCCTCCTTCCACTTCAGCAGTTTGGGGAATGGCCAAGCTGGACACTCCATGGCTGCTGCTGGCAAGGAGACAGGGCCAGAGCAGGCACAAATCTGCTGTGCAGTTGCTTCTTACTCAGGGTGCTGCCTAAAACTGCAACCCAGTCTTTACTGTTAAGCCAGGGAAGGAGGTACAGTTCAAACTTGCCACTGAGTGGCTCTGTTCCTCAACTTGCCTTTTGTAAACTGACCTATTTTTAGCATCTTTTCTATCTGAAAAATTTGCTACCCTTCACTGTACCGATTTGGACTCAAGAAATTCCATTCCTTTGGCAACTTGATAAGAGAAGCAAAGAAGATCTTCAAAAGTGAGCACATTAAAATCCTCTTCTTCATCCATCTGTGTACCTGCATCCTTAATTTTATCTGTAAAAAATAATCAGAAGTATGAGTTTTCCATGACTTCCTCACTCTGATTAATTCCACTGACTGTTGTAAAGGATTTTCACAGGCTCCCTACTAAGAGCAACATCACAAAGAGCATCCATCTTTTTTATCCTTTACTCAGATACAAAAGAAAGGCAAGCATTTTTGTATTCAAGTACTACGTATAGCATGAGCAGAAACATAAGCCTCTGATCTCAAGTGTTGTTGAATTCTCCTCCAGCAAAATTCCTGCCAGGACTGAAGAGAAACATATGATAGAAAGAGGCCTCTTTTGTCATGGAATCTAGTGTGGTCATATCAATAATACAAAAAATACAGTAAAACAGCATTCCTGAAGATATAGTCAATTAATCTCTTACCTTCCTCAGAAAACAGCACAATTCCATTTGATTCCAGTGTCACATTTATGTTTTGACTTTGCATGGTTTCAAATTCATCCCCTCTGCACAGAGCTGTGTTCACACTGTACTTCAGGTGAGTCCCTGTCCTGGAGCAGGCAACACATTTTCAGAGGTTTCACACAGTGTGTCACATAATCTTCTACACATAAACCCTTTTGCAGTGAAAAACATGAACGGTTACTACTACTAAAGACCTGGATACAGACATGACTCTTCTCAAAACTGGGAAGAGAAACAAGAGGTTGTTTGTCTTCTGCAGTCTCCATGAGGACAATCAAATCTCAGTTCCTCCTAAGGCATTACTTATTAAAGTATATGAAGGCACATTCTCAAGAATTCAGTCATTTCACCAGTGTATAGCACAGGTGAGAATGCAGCTTAAAAAACAATAGCAGTTTTTAAAAGTATCAAACTTACTAAATTTTTTACCTGGAGTTTTGGTCCTGATGGATATTGTGGTAAAAGCTGAAGTTTTGTTGTTTAAAAATATCTGTCAGTGTCCAGTGAAACTTTTCTCTCTTGCTCCTCAAGTAGTTCAGAAGGTCACCGTAGCAACAGTATTCAAATATCAAGTAGATTGGTCCTGAAATAGTTGGAAATGTAAATAGCTTGCTACTATTTATAGCACCCTCCCCATTAAAGCCCTAATGCTGCTTCATTTTCTCTTGGGATTAATCTGTGTTAAAACATCCCAAGCATTTTCCATTCCCAGGTAGATAAGCTGTACTGATAGGCACGTAATGAGAACTTGTTTACTGACTGTAATGTCTCTTGGAAAGTCTGTGTAACTTTGTCCTTGTGGTGCATCTCTCAAACTGTGTTGAAAATCCCTTATAGAAACAAAAATCCTCTCCTATCCAATGGCAATGGGGAGGACAGTACAGGCTATAAGGATTCAGCATATTTTCTAAACCATGCAGGGTTCAAGCAGAAGATGAGTCCTGCTAATTATCTGGATGTTGTGAGTTTGTGTTCTTTGACCTACATCCTTCTGTCTATCTGTGCAACCTTCAAGCTCTGGAAAGATCCTTTTTATTTTTCCCCAAGAAGACTACCTGAAACCCAAGAGTACTTTGCTGAGGGGACCTAAACAAGGGATATCCCTTGCAAGGGGAGGTATCTTAGGTAGAGCACTGGTCAGGACACTTTCTCAAGAAAGGAAAAACACATCCAATTCCTGACCCAGGCATGCTTGGATAAAAGCCATGACCAGCCAGCAGGAGCTCAGAGTGGTCACACATCACTCTGCAAAGCCTCACTCTGCCACCACCCCTTCTGGCCCCGGAAGACTGACCATGAATCCATAGATATTTCTGTCAGAAGGCCACTGTCAAACAAGGTGGAGCACGCTGAAAAAAGTGGTAAGGTCTCTCAGAGGATGGATGGGAAAGTCTTGAGAACCATGTAAATGCTTCTGAAAATGGCACTTGGATAAGGCTGGAAGTGTTCCTGCCCTACCTAGCAGATCAAGCAGGTTTTCCCTGCAGCTCTCCTGCCTGCACCATCGCATCCTGCCCACTGTTCCAGAAGGCAGTGGCAGTATTTTTAAATCAGCTAAAGCTACCAAGAACAATCTATTTCTCTGCTTTACCTCAATTATAACACAAGTCACACAATAATTATTCATTGATAATACCTTGCTACTTTCATCTTAGCCCATCTTTGGTTATTTTTTCATTCTTCAGTTTTGTTTTTACATTTGGTCCTTTAAAAGGTTGTCCCTCTTTCCATTATTTATTCTCTAATTTCTTCTTTTTTTCCTGTTCCTCCTACCCCTGTTATTTTTCAGTTTCTCTTGTTTCCTGTCTATCTTTCAGCTATTTTTATCCATTCATTGGTGAGATACATAAATAAAAAAAAACCCATAATTTCCTATGTGAACATAATCATGTGCATACAAAAGTCCCTGACACCAGATAAGTTTTTCCTTTTTACTTAATAAACTGGCTCATACCAGTGCCATCACCACCATAACAGGAAATCCTATTCTACAGAAGGACTGTTGTATCACTTCCTGCCAGTATAATCAGAAATTACCCTTTTCTGTACACATGCATGCCCTTAAATTTGCTTTCGGTTCTTCTTCATCTTATTTTGGGCCAGCACAGAACAGCAAAATTAGTCCTCATTATTCTGGTGGTTTTAACTGGTACTTTTCTACAGTTTCAATTTACCTGACAGAGTACAAGCTCCTAGCAGGTTCACAATATTTTCATGGCTTCCAATGTGAGTCATCATTTTCAGCTCAGACATTAGAGCATCTTTTTCTGAAGCATCAGGTTTTTCTGTAAAAGCAACAATACAGATTTAGAAATCTCTGGCAAAGAAATGAAAACTTAAATGGTTGTGATTCTTTTTCACATGCAAATCTTAATTTCAAATTTATTGGACTAACAGTACATTTGGGAACATCCTAAAAAAACCTTTCCAAAGTATACAAAGATTCAGTCAAATGTGGAAACTAAATTTGTGTGTGAGTGCAGATCATTTGAGAGCTTGGGAAAGCAGTCATTAAATGTCAACATTTGTCATTCTTGAGCTGGCAAGGAATGACAGCAATATATTAAAGTGTTCCCAAGCACAGAAAAAATGGCAGACAAGCCTGTGGCAGAGAAATGTTAAGAGAGAAAAATGGCAGCCACATGGCACACATCCAACTGCAATCCAGCAGCTGAGAAGGCCACCCTGTGGCTTTAATCTTGTTTTTCAGCGAGCATTTGGTGCTCACGACTTCAGTGTATTGAGTACGTGAACCAAAATGATCAAGTCAAGCTTCCACAAAGACAACCACAAAGGAGTGGGCCAAGGAAGCATAAACCTGATGCTTAAGTGGAAATGTGGGATGGAAACCTGAAAGGCAGTGCTGGCAGGAAGGGGCTATGTGGGCACACAGGTGGGCAGGGTGCTGGTATCAATGTGAAGCTCATTCCAGTATATAACAAAAGGTGGGTGAGGTTGATACCCGTCTCTTCCCAAGTAACAAGTCACAGGATGAGGGGAAACACTTCTGTTTGTGCCTCAGAAGAGGATTAGATTGGATATTCAGAAAAATGTTTTCACCTATATGCTTCAATGGGTTGTCGAGCACTGGAAGAGGCTGCCCAGGGAAGTGGTTGAGTCACCATCCCTGAATGTATTTAAAAGATGTGTCACTGAGGGACATGGACAGTGATGGCTAACAGTTTGACTCAGTGATCCTAGAGGTCTTTTCTGGTGTAAAGTACTCCACCGTTCTGTGAACAGGGCTGTGCTTAGCTGGGACACAGGAGGCAGCCCTCCTCTGCTTTCTTCCAGGGAGGAATTGCTCCTGGACTCTGATTTTATGAGGAGTCAAGACAGCTTGGAGAGAGGCCAGACCATAGCAGAAAGGAGTATTTGAAGTTTAGTATCCTTATTCATAAGGAGAGATGGAAAAAAACTGTTTTGTGTCATCATCAAGAAAAAAGACTACAGGAAATTGTGCCGGGAGTTTTGGAAACAAACTAGCACAGACACAGCTGACAAAGGGCTTGGGACAGCTATGCAGCACTACAAGAAAAAGGGGCCTTAGACCAAGGGTCATAGTCACCAATATAACCAGTAGGACAATCTGCACTGGGGATTTGCATTTCTCCTCTTTAGAGGCTCCTACTTCCCCCCACAACACAGACCTGTAGTGTGTAGGGCAAAATGCAATGTGCTGTGGGATGAAGGCACTTCAGCAATACCTTTCCAAACTGAAACAGGGATTTGCAAGCACTTTGAAAGGATTTTGAAGCCAAGCATTTGTGAGGTGTAACTGCTGAAAGTTTCCTGTATGAGGGGGATTTCTAATGCCTCTTCTACTTTGGAGATAGTAGAATGCTTGTAGAAGGCACCAGAGTTGATCATACCTTTTAGCATTTTGACTGCCACCTGGACTGAATCTCCTGCATTGTTAATTCCATAAGCTGTGGCAGTCACTACTTTCCCAAAGGCCCCAGAACCAAGGACCTGTCCTACAAGACACAAAATGTCAGTATTATTTGCTGCTGGTACAACACAGACTACTGCTCCAGTTTTGAGATTTAGCTTATGGATTGCTCACCAAATTCCAGATTTTCCCTGGGAAATTCCCAATTTATATCATATTCAAATTCTCTGAAGTCGACGTAGATGTATTCATTATCTGATGGCCCTATCATCTGTATCATTTGCCACTGGCTTTCATATTTGAATTGCTTTGGAAGAGAAAGAAACGCACAATGAAATAAGTCTTAGAGAAGAAACAGCCTGGTAGGAAGAAAAGAAGGATGGCCAGGTATTTATGTTTGCTTTTACCTTTTTGTATTTAAGAAAAATTAATACAAACAAAAAAGCAATCAAGAGGAGAAAAAATCCAACGGAGACATAGAATGCAGCATTGTCCAGAGGTGAAGAAACAGCTCCTGCAACTTTAAAAGACACACATTACTACCCACTGGAACACAGTTTGTGTGTACAGCTGAAAATGCAAGGAGAGCCCACGGTCAGCTCTGGCAGTCTGCAGCCCTCTCACACCCAAGCCTCCTCAGTATGGGGCGTGAGAGGCAGCTGTATGAAAAGCAAGATGACCAGTGGGCATTAAGTTCTGGGTAATTCTGACATCTGTTTTCATTTAAAAAAGGGGAAAAAAAAAGCTAAATCCATTAATAAACCTGAATGCATGGAGGTATTGCTGTGATTCTTGAATTTAACTTAGTGAGAATAAACAGGAATAAAGTGTTGATTGGTAGATGAGCATGCAAACACGAGACTACCCTCATATTTTGGTTGTTTCTAAAAGTGTAAGTATTATGATTACTTTCTATTCTAATTTCAACCTGAATCTCAAACTCTGACAGTGGTCCCAACTTCTGTCCACTGTAGTCAAAAGCTTGTTCATCAGGACAAAGGAAATCCCTGTATTGCAAATACCTGGGTGTTTCAAAACAATTCCTGGTGCCACAGCACGTCCCCTCTAACCGAAATATTTTTCTCTATGGAATACATATGGTGTTGCAAGTACAGAGTGCAAATAATCACACCGACTTTCTGCTTCAATGAGGAAATCTGTGATTCCCTTGACAAGAAGAGAGACTGCCTAACCACCACTTAACCTTCTGTCACTTGCCTATGGCAGTTTAAGAAGGTTTCTTTCCCAGTACTCCTGCTTTCCAGACAGGGACTGACCCTTCAGTGGGTCTGTTGGCTCAGCCATGATCTTGCTTGGGTGTGCAGTGACCTCCATGGGGTGAGGAGAGCTCCCATGGGTATTTCTGGCTGCACCACAGGGACCTATGGGAAAGGAGCAAGGGACAGCACATGCCACCAGCTACCAAAGAGCTTTTAGCTCTTGCCAAATATAATTCTTCCAGATTTCATGTAGGGATGACTAAAGTAAAATAAGGAACCAGCCTCAAACATTGCCATGCCTCCATCCTGCACTTCCTTTTTTTTTTTTTTTTTTTATTTTATTTTATTTTTTTTTGCCCCCCCCCTGCCCTTCTTTTTTTTTTTTTTTTTTTTTTTTAATTTAATTTAATTTTATTTTATTTTTGTCCTGTTTATTTTAATGAGGGAGGCTTCTGCTTTAGGCCTAGAGAAAAAAGAATTTTGTCTCCCATTCACCCACCATTTCTGATACTGTGTATATACAGAGCTTGTGTTTTACCTGCAATGCCATTGCACAGTCAGCCATTTAGCCAGATAAAAAGCATTGTAGGTTCTACCATGCCAGCTTTAGTTGAGAAAACCCGTGCTAAAACACTGGCTTGTGGTACCTGACAGGTTAATGAAACTCTTTTCACAGGCTGAACCAGCTGAATTTTTTGCACAGCACTCCACTGAGAAGGTTGTTGCTGTCTCCTTTAAATATAAAGTACTGCTTGAAATCCATGACCCCAGGGATCTCCTCTCTGGCAAGAAGTTCTGAATCCCCTCTGTGATTTCCTCTGTGCAGCTGAAAAAGGAAGCAGACCAGTTTTGATTTTTAGCTTTTTTAGTGACATTTGCCAGGGGAGAAGGTGGGAACTTTCAAAACATATCTTATGTCTGTGTTGGAAGAGAAGAAAGGAAGGGGCTTGTGTTTTGTCAGTGATAGAGTGAGACCTCTGGCCACTTACTAGTCTCATTTTTGGTGATGGACATGGCAAGGTTAGCAGGGACTGAGCTACCTCCTACACTGGGCTCACGGTCACTTTCCACCACTGCCTTGGCAGGGTACTTGCACCCCCTGAACTCTGGAACCTCCATCAGTTTCACAACTGACACCACCCCCCATGCCACATCTATTCCCACTGATTTCATATTTGCCTCAAAACATTCAAACCACTGAGCAGCTGCAAATGAGGCACTGCTAAAACTATAAATGCAATATGAACCCAGAGTAGAAGCTCTAACTCCTTTCTCTGAAGGCATGTCACTTCAGCCATGAAGTTTCTCTCACTCATGATGGAGAGCCTCCATCCACACAGATGGAGAGTATTAATGACTTATTTAAGGCCTGATATGTAGAAAGAGGGAACTTGACACTTGAGGGAAAGGTGGTCCACATAGATAATTTTGTCTTCTAGCTTTTCTATCATTCATCAGCTTAGTGTCTAATTTACTCCCCACATAAATAAATTAGGAGACAAGAGAAATTTATTCAGCTCTACTCATAGCACTGGCTTCTACATTTGGAAGTTCCTCAGAAAAGATGTGTCACAGAATTTTCTTCCCAGGAAGATGATTTAAGGAGCATTTTAAACCTACTCTCTGCATGTTGTTTTCCTCTTCCATTTCTCACAGATTGATATAAGGAAGCCTTTTAAGAGGTATTGGTAAAAAAAAGTCAAGGTTTTTTTTTTTTTTTTTTTTTTTTTAATGTCTAGCTAAATTAAATACTTTAGAGTTTATCCACAATCTTACAAAGGAAAATTTGACTTAGTATTCTTCTGCACCATGGGATTATTAGTTTCTTGGCATATCTAAAATAAAAATTGCAGAGTTCACAGATCAGGTCAAAGTTGTTTAACCATTTTTAAAAATTTTAGAGCCTGACTCATTCCCCTAAATAAATAGAGGAAATGGAGACGCTCTTACTAACTTTACTGGAAATACTCTTACTAACTTCACTGGAAACACTCTCACTGACTTTAGTGGTTTTGGTAACAGAGCACCATAGCAGGTCTTTTAACCAAAGCTTTCCCAGTTAATCAAGCCTGCATTAACCAATGCATTCCCTAAATCCCTATAACTTTGATAGGCTAAGAGAAAAACTTAGACTGGACTTTGTTACCCCTTAACTGTTGATATAAACCCAGTGGGGTCTATTTTGGTGTAAAGAGCCCAAGATACACATCTTTATAGACTTCATTTGATGGCAATAAAAAAGGGAAAAAATTCCCCTAATTTTGGTGATGTGGTTCCCCTGGAGTAGGGCAACCAGTTAAACGCACACAGTGAAGTGTGCATTTTACATTTAGTTTGTTACAGGCTGGTCTTCATTTAATCAATGATAGCTCAGATACTCTTTGCAATGAATAAAAAGAAAGAATTGTTTACTTGGATGAGTTCAGTTCAAGGCAGTTCCTCCAAACCCAGGATGAGGCAGGGTAACCTTCAGCAACACAGGAGATCTGCTTGAACAACAGCTGCATCCTTATTTTGGGCTTTCCTGCAATAAGGCAACACAAGGCTTAAGGACATGGCTTAGTGGTACACTTGGGAGTGCTGGGTTAATGGTTGGAATCTATGTTCTCAAAGATCTTTTTCAACCTAAACAATTCCATGATTCTGTAAGACAATTTCTGTAGCACTTCAAGCGACAAAACCCCGTACACTTATGCGGCAATGTTATATCTGCTGAGACCAAGGTCTGCTTCTGCTTTCAAAATAAAAAACTTCATCTCACAGTGAGAGCTGGGTGTAGCTCACAGTCCTCCTCCTTCCTTGGTTTTGTGGATGGCAGCGTGGCAAGGCAAAGGGAGCAGCCACTTCTCTGTATGGGCACAGCCAGACCAAAACAATGGCAGAGCCAAAATTAGAAGTCTTGACTTCTGCTTTTCTGACTCGGACTAAGCAGCTGGCCCTAGGACTGCCCTGGCACTGAGGTTCTGGGTGTCCAACTTGTACAAAACGTGCACAGAAGACCCTTGTATAAATCATATATCACAAATAAAACCCCCAGACCTGTAGCAAGGGAGAGATGCTGCAGTCATGTGGCAGAACTGAGATGATTGAGAGCATTGGTCAAGACTGTGAGTGTGTATGAATTGTGGGCATGGGTGTATGAGGCACTGCTGCCCAAACACACCAGTTACACACCAGAGGGTATCCACACTAACTACATTAACTCATGAATACCATTAGGGAAAATAAATGTCATAAACGGGGCATAGAAAGCTAATTCCTAATGGGGAGAAGGGTTTCCTCCCAACTCTGTATCTTGTGTGGTTTCTGCAGCAGTCACATATGTTCCAGCTTTGCAGAGATAGAGTTACTGTATTTTACTGACTTCCTAGGCTTGTTATTTTCTTAAGAAGCATTAATTTTTCTCAATATGCAACTGATTCCTCATATTCCGTTTATGGTAGACTAAAGGGAAGAAAAAGAATTAGTAACTTTCTCCTCCTTTCTCTGTTCTCCATCCTTAACTGACACAAGAAATACAACCCACAAGCATCCAGTGTCTTTCTCTGACCCAGTGCTTGGATTTCAGCACTGTGATGCCGTGTGAAGAGAATCATGTTTTTGCCTTTTGATCCTCCATTTTAAACAATAAATCTATGTAAATGAAATAGGGAATACCAGTCAAAAAACCCATAATAGCTCAGTTTATACCAGTGATAAAACCCCAGACTTCGCCAAATCTTCAGCAATAGTTTTCTTACTTACTTCTCACATACAGAGTGAATTTTTTAGTTACAACTGTATCATCATTTTCAGCATAAAATACATATATCCCAGACTGGTGCTGATGGTTGCAGAACTTCGATGAAATGCTGTGGAACAAAGTCAGAAAAGGGAAAAGGACAAAATATTGACTTGAAAAATATTTCAAAGGCAGTCAAAAGTCACGTATAGGTTGAAACAATTCTGTATCTTCTCATGAAAAATACAAAGGAAATTATTTTTGCTTAGAGAATATAAATCCCAGAATCTAACTATGCTGGTGAGAAGATATTTTTTTGCCTGCAGTATTGATTTAATTCTGCATGTTTTCTCTCACTCTTCCTGGAGTGCATGCAGGCTGTCAAGCTGTGGTTTTGTTATTAATTCATTGGAAGACAAGACACATCCAGGCACATCTGCTAAGACCAGCAAAGGATCAAACTTTCTTCTCTCCGAGGAGCTTAGATGAGAGTTTCCAGCTGATGTGATAGATTGTGTTAGGAAACAACAATGACAGTGAGGAACATAAGAGACAAACATCTCCAAATGGAAAGATCTCACATAGGCTCAGGAAAGTGACCATCATCATAAGTTCCTTGTTAATGAGATGACACACCAGCCCTCAAGGTCATTTTGCAGGAAAAAGACAGCCTTTTTCTAATCCCTATGGCATTTGAGCCAATGGGTGGCAGAAAGCCAATACCCAAACCATGCAGGAGACAGCTTGTGACAATGGAGATGGCCAGGAGGGGTCTAACAAGTCTCTGGGCAGAAACTAACAACAAAGAGCTGCAGCGAATTAAAGATTCATGCCTGACTGTCCTATTGTGACACTGGTGTATGGGACATGGGATGAGGCAGGGAGAAGGGAATATGCCATTTTATAGTGATAGTATCCTGTTTCTGTGTTTCCAACTAGGTTATTGCTGTAGGACAATTGTCAGCTTTGAATAGCAGATTATGCAGTTCACGAGCATTAGAAAAGCATCCTAAGAAAATGCCTCAGGGGTAGTTGCTGACAATTTTGGGATAGGTGTTTCTGCTGACAATTCAATGGCAGCCATGTTGTAGGTTCCCAACTCTGTTTTAGTGATAAAGGCAAGCAGGAACATCAGAGAGTTTGAAGAGAGAAGAAAAAAAAAAAAAAACAAACTCAGATAGCTCATATCAGCAATATGCAAAGTAGGAGAAAGCAGTAATGAAATCAGTCTTGAGAACTGAAATTGGGATATTTCTCCTTAAGCAATATACATACGAAGGCACCAAGTATCACCTTGAAATTCTAAACCAGAAAAACTCCCCTTGAAGCCACTGGCAATTTTGTCTTCTGATTAAGGCCACACTTTCATATAGTTATTGACTTTTGAATGTCTTAATCTGAAATGGCCTTAATGATGTCTCCAAACTCATGGATTTTTTAAAGTCAGAACCCTTTTAAGCTGCCTCAAAAAAGATACTGAAGACAGGAAAAAAAAAGGACCAAACAAAAAATAATTAGTTGCTTTTGAAATCCCAAGTTGGAAGGATTATATCCTAATGAAATAATCAGAAAAAAAAATACCACAGTATCTTCAAAACCTGAAAATATAAGGGGATGTGATTTAAGTACTGTAAATTTAACAGAGGACATTGTGTATATGAAAAGTCATTAGCTCTTAGGGGGGAAGTGAAAATCAGCAGTGCTGAAACAGAGAGCCCACAAAAGCAAATAGAAAATTCTGAAGGAATGTCTGAAAGTGTCTGGAATGTCTGTAAGTGTAGTGAAAGGAGAGATGGATCATTGGGTTTTGAAATAAAAGGCTGAAGAAAAGTACAGAGTTAATTATTAAAATGTAATATGATTTTTTATCTGAAGGAATAATTTTACAAGAGACTGGCAGAAATTAAAATAATAAAACCAGGAAGTGAAAAAGGATATGGAAGGAACAAAGTAGAAGTGCTGGGAGACAGGATTACACAGAAATCAACTAGAACATGCAAAGTGAGACTCACAATGTGTTTAGATATGTGATGACTTTTTTTTTGTGTTGCTTTGAGAATCCTTCTGCTTTAAAATTACATTGAAATCTGGAAGGCTACAGCTTGCAGGCAGAATCTCCTGACTTTCCTACCCCCTGCTGCTTCTGCATGCTTCAAACTGAATGAAAGATGTACCCCTACTCTTTGTCCTCAGGTGAGACATGTCTATCCTGTGCTTGTATTCAGCCAAAATTGGATTGTTGTGAGGGATGTCTGCACAAAAGAATGTACTCGTCAGATGAAATAATCAGCAAATTCAAGTGTTTCCCCCTCTATTTTATTTTTGCATTAAATAAATAGGACGCAAATAAATGCAAAGAATAACTACCCAAAATAAACATTAAAAATCCTGTTCATCCAACAGCACTGTCAGACAAATGACCGAGTTATGTGTTTGAAGAAGCCACCAGGCTGCGCCCCAGCAATGCTTGGTGGCTGTGGCTTGTGCCTGTGGCTGGGCCAGCCTGGACACACGGCTCCAGGGACACGAGCTGGCCTTTCCCCATCCAGCAGGTGGTGATCAGCACTCAGCCACTGCTGCTTTGTGCAGCGATGACTCTGGAGAGACTCATAAATCCCAGGCCAGCAGTAGCACCTTACTGACTAATGACAGCTGCCTAAACTATTTCAAATGTTCTCAGTGTAATTATTGTTGGCACAGTCTGTAGCACCTAATTCTTATCTGTGGGTTGAATTTACACCCACTGTCAATCATCCAAGCAAAACTGAGTCCTGCTGGTACAACCAGTGAGGAGGGGTGCATGCCAGCTGCAAAGCAAATCAACCCCGTGTTATCAGCTGGAGGGAGGTACCGATTGGACAAGGATGAGCAAATGCTCCTGGCTGTCCCCTGAGACCTCATTTCCAAAATCAGTCTTGTCACAAGGCACAGTTCTGCCAAGCCCATGTCAGGCGTTGCACATTAGTCACCAACACCCACCCGGTGCTATCAAAGTTTGCTGACAGCCCTCACTTTATCAGCAGGGACAGAGTTCCTGTGGACATTGCCAGGAGATGACAATTTGCTAACCTGAACTGAGCTGTCTCTGAACTTCACTGAGGTCTGACTCCAATACGCAATCTGATGCAGATGAAAAGGCCAGTCTGTTGCAAAGATAACTTGACAAGCTAGTGGATAAAATCAAAGGTACAAAAATACTATGGAAAGAAATCATAAAAAATGTAATCAAATCTTTGACACAGCTTTGTGCAGATGTTGACAGAGGTTTTAGGAATGTGAGAAAGAATCAGAGTAGCTGCATTAGCTCCTGCCTACAGCCTGCTCACTTTTAATGTAAAAACTTGAAAAGAGCAGTGTGGCTTTACTTTCATTGAGGTGAGTAAAAGCTGTTACCTGCAAAGCCATGGGACTACTCTGAAAGAAACCCTGAAGGAAATTAGATAATGTTATCAAGAAATTAGAGAGCCTAGGGAATGGAGAAAACATTAGCCTTAAACAGGATTCATGCCAGAAGTCCATTGTAGGAAATAACAGAAAAGGTAGATAACTAACAGGTTTATTCAAAACATGTTTTGCTGCAGCAGTGGAAGGATCCATGACCTGGGTAACGAGCAGAACGGCATGTTTCTGTGACACAGGCACAGGCCAGCAGACCTAGCAGAGGCCTGGGAACTACAGCACCCTGGACTTGGTCTGAGCTCTTTGAAAGACACTGGGAACATCATCAACAACAGGATGAGAAAATGGGAACATGCAGAACTTGTGATCCAGAATGAAAACTGTAACACATCTGTAACTCAGAACTTATATTAGAGAGAAGGGGAATGGCAAAATGCATATAAACCAAAGAGTTGCTGGATGCATAACTTAGCAAAGGGTTTATTTTAAACAGAGAATAAAGTGGTTCTACAAGTTATCTGTGTGAACTGTTGTTCAAAGCCAAAATTATGTTTGAGTGCCTTTTGTTAACAGTCTCACCATGTGGCCCATTCATATTTTAAAAACACAGAGTACAAAACATCAGCAGTAAATGGTCCAAATGAGATATAAAGAAGAAGCACTATTATATTAAATTATTACAAAATACTCAAATACCTGTGTCCATCCACACTGTAACTTTGTATACATGGAAATGTTTTATTGGAATATAGCCACATGCATCTAACTGGAGGATATGCTCTAAAGTTAACTTCAAAGCAAAACTCTTCCTCACCGATTTCAAAATCTTCTTTAGAGTCAGTTATATTTATAAATCCCTTTTCTGGAGAAAAAAAAAAGAAAGAAAAGATGTATTAGAAAAGCTGGACTTTGATGAAAACATTTTAACATCTTCAAAATACTACTGAAATATTGTCACTGTGTCAGCTGCAGACAAATGATTTGAGCCTGATGAAGTTGCATTTTTGGTCAGACCAGAGCACTTCCAAAATGGTCTGGCATTTCTCTTCAGTCTAACCTACAGAGTCACAGGGCCAATAATGTCATAATTTAGTTTGGTTTGGGTGTGTATTCCAGGTGTTAAGAGCTGCAATTCCTGGCTTTCTTTCTACAGGAATAAAACCATCATAATCACCACCATCATAATCAGTAGTTCTTTTTCCTTCCCTGAAATAAGCTGAAGATTTTGCAAATGAGTCTTGTAGCTGATCCTTTATTTCTCCATTTAAATTAAACATATTTAATGCAAGATGACAGCAATATGGAAAAATGTTTTGAAGAGGTCCCTGAACCATGTGCTGCTGGTATTTGCCCTGCTAGGGTGGGATTTGTTTTACCTAGTGGAGATGTCAAAAGCTCTGTGATCCACCTAAGCTTCTTGTCTGGACATCTGATAAACTCAGTGGAATGAAAAAGGCATATTCCAATGTTTCCAATCCTAAAGCAGAAGATGGCAAAGATGTACTGAACCACTTCTGGAAATACTGTTTCTTGGCACTGACTGATGAAGGAACCAAAGTCATAGCTGGGGCTAGATGTCTCACGGCTTGGAATGAATCCTGCCCAAAGAGACTGAACAGCAGACATGTTTGGAGGAAGGCTGTCCTAAAGACACCATTGGTGCTAGGATCAATTCTGTAAAGATCACAGAACCATATACATTGGAAAAGATATGCAGTCAAACTCCTGCCCAGAGCAGGTCCAGCTAGATGAGGTTGCTCAGACCCTTGTCCTGCTTGGTTTAGGTATCTCCAAGGACTGAACCTCTGGAAAACTTGTGATGTTGTTTAATCAGCTACATGGTGAAAAACTACACCACAAAAACATTGCTGGACCTGTTTTTTTTCCCTTTTGAGTGTTTTTTTTTCTGATTGTAACCCTATGTTCTGCTTGGTATATTTTATCTGTCTTAGCCTACTTACTACCTGGAAACTCCCATAAAAGCCACAAACATTTCAGTATTTCAAAACAAGAAATTATTGCTTTCATGAGTACTCTCCTATTTTTTATATTAAAGGCTTATTGATTTTATACATGGAGCCTTCATCTTTTGGTCTTCATCCTGCCAGGTAGAATATAACAACACAACCAGCCAGGAGTAAAAGCTTTCTCCAGAGAGCATATAAGAACCTTGGAGCAGTGTATGCCATTTATCTGGAAAAGAACTGAGAAAAAAAAAAAAAAAGTAGTTCTTTATTGGAGGAGAAAGAAAATGGCACATTATTGCTTGGTTTATTATTTTTGGCAGGCTTAAGTGTATTTTTGACTATTTACACTGAGCAATGACAAAGAGGTGAGATGAAACTCTCAAGACTGAGCAAGTCTCTGTGCTCCTCATATTTCTGTATGTTTTTGCTTTTAATATAATGTGCTGCAAAATAAATTACATATTCCTGAACTAAGATCGTGTAGTGCTAAAAATTCTTTTAATGCTGGTGGAAACTGAACATAAGGCCTGCAGTAACAAAGAGCCTTGCAGGTGCAGTTGTCGGCATGATCTCTGCTGTGCTTTGAAGCGGCCTAACCACCCTGCCTGACCTGATGGTCGCACAAGATGGAATAAACTGGTGAGTATCAATTACCAAAGGACAAAGGAAAGCAGTCTGTCTGCAAGGTATTTTTAGAGATTTGAAGAACACTCATCCATACAGCTATGGTATCCAGGCTCCCCAGGCAATGGAGTGTGTGCCAACCAAATCAGTTTTCTCTTGGATAAGTTACACCATGATGATTCCCACTGAAGCCACAGGTGTTTAATCATGCACAGTAATGATTTAAAGGTGGGATGCTGATTGTTTAAGAAACTATTACCCTAAAACCTGGGCAACTGAGTGAAATCTGTATCTGTATCATTGCTGAAATGGAATCTGCATTGTTATCATAAACTCACACCCACAGTGATTGTCATTAAGATGTTAGGCTAAATGCTGGGATGGATCAGAAGCACAGGATATTCCTGTAGAACCTTGGAGAGAGAAGCACAGCTGTTAGCTTGGTATGACAACATCACCCACTTTAATCTACCATGTAAGTAAAAAATTGATTTTTTTTTTCACCAGCAAAGACAATGAACCCTCAGAAGTTTTGTTGAGACAAAGGGGTATTAAGGAGGGCACAGACAATCAATATAGGTTGGTGCATTGTAGTGAAAAAAATACCTACAGCCTTCCAAGGACAGGAACTCAAAAATTCCCTGACTGTCACCCATGCTCCGACCTGATAGTTCACAGATCCCAGAAACCACTATTTCTGACCTATGCACAGCTACTGATGAAAAAGAGGATCTTGCCCTACCTCTACAGTACGCCCTCACCCCCATGTTCCTGTTTGCCAAGGAGATGCGCATAGAAAAAATGCACAGGTATCCTACTCAGTTATTGTAAATGATGAGAGAACTTCCTGTTCAGTGGCAGGCAGAAGCTGAAAAGAGGATATCACACTGGGAAAGTCATTTCTGAAGAGACTAGGGTAAGTATTCTCACTTCCTACCATACCTAGCCTAGATATCATAAACCCTGAGAGCAGCTTCATCTAAGATCAGACATATGGTGACTGCTTCAGGAGCCTTGTTATCAGGGCTAGAGGCTCCAGCTCCAGGCACACCAGTCATTAAATTACACCCTGTGCCTACTGCAGCAGCGTGGTCCTACCTACAGCTTTCCTTTTTATGCCTCATTTCCAGACCTAGCCCCATTTGTATATTATTTCCATCTGAGAAAAGAAGTTTGTGGTTGAGGCTGCTCTCAACTAAATTCAACACCGCTGGTTTTAAATCAGCACGTTTCTTAAGTAGAATGAGATTTGCTTTTTAAAATTATGGCTCTGTGGCACGCTGGCTGAGAGTCACCAACGTGTGAGATGAATCCCAGCCTGTGTTTCCAGAAGATCCCACTGAAACAATCATACAGACTGCATGTCTAAACTGTGCCATTTCATTTCACCTCTAAAAACACTGTCTTTTAAAGGGAATTATTTGAAAAGCAATATAAAGAAAAGGTTAATTGTATTCAGGTACCAGAATGACTCAGTTCAGGTTAATCTCTTGGCTCTTCTGGATTGCTTGGAAGTGCAAACAGACTTTTTCTTTAGCAAGGGAACTACAAACATACAATGCATATCTGCAAGTAAAGAACAGACACATGGAAAACAAAAAGCAAAACAGCTGAGAGACAAAATTAATACCAGGGATTGGAATTACCTAGAACTGTGATCAGAGCAGTTTGGTTCAGATGAGCAGTAGAAGAGCATGTGTAGTGTCCACTGTAATTTCTTTCTGCTGCTGAAACAAACACATGCTGGATCCGAATTGCTGACAAGTTTGCTTGATATTCTAATCCTTCAAAGTAGTAACCCTGCTTTTCAACAGAGATTCACGTTTAATCAGCTGATAGTGCCTGATACAACCTATTTTAATACATGCCCTGTCTTTTTACCTGCTCAACTTCTCTGTTTTCAAAAGATAGTTGTATTCTGAATTTATAATTATGGTGAACAGCTCTGCATCTGATCAGCAATGGTTCCCCAGCCTTAAGTAGTAGTTCAGGTAAAGGTGATGCTTGTCTTTTATTTAAATCTACAAAACCAAAACATAGACACTGAAACAACCATCACTTTGCCTGGAAAATGCTCAGTTAGATCAACATTTTTTCTGCTAATGCTGTATAGATATTAATTTCTACATTGTAATGATAATTACCATAATAATGAAATTAGTAACCTTCATTAGTAACCTTCATCCAGTAACCTGGATTTAGATGTCTCAAAACAAATTTTGCCATGATTCACAAGACACCTCTAGGACACAATGCATAGAGCATAGAGCTTAGCTCAGGTAGGGTTTATTTAAAAAACAGGCAAGCAAATCTGACTGCATATATTAATTAATAATTAGCTATAAATATATATGTTTGAGAACACTTTGGAGAGCTTTTCCCTGCACACAATCCTAAAAGCATGAACAAAAAGTCAGTACAAGTATAGCAAATATAGAAAGGCAAGAGGCTTTTTACAGAGAGCAGAAAGAGCTATTGGAATTAGGTTTTAAACATGCGACAGAGCACTCATATTCACTGGTAGCTTTATTCCAGTGATTACAAACAAGTAGCTTAGACCAAAAATCATGCTCAGGTGGGCAGTGCAACTAACTTCAGCAGCAGGATTGGGGTCACATGCAAGTAAACCTTAGAGGGAAGTTACCTATTGTAAAAAGGCTGGTGCATTCTCTGCCCAGGACATTAACTGCACAGCACCATATGTAAGTTTGAAATAATTCATGTTGCACCATCTGGATGCCATCTATTTCTCCAGTTTCTTCATGCCTTTTATAAGGGCAACTGCAATTACAAGCATAATTATTCATTGACTCATTTGGTTAACCGCAAGCAAATAAATCTGATAAATCTCTAAGCCATGAGAATATGCAAACAATAGTGGGAAAACTGGATTTCACATATTGAATAAAAAGGAACTGGAAAGGTGAAGATAAGAAAGTAAAAATGTCACAGTCTGGGCAGAAATGTGAGCTGAAATGACCTGAATATGCTCAAACTGGCTCTTAGACAGGTAATGATGTGATTAAAATCATAGAGGCTGAGTTTTCACACCACATCTCTGATTTCCTGGTGGTGGGAGGTGCTGCCAATTCAGTGGCATTATGACATCCAGACCCTGAACTGCCATGCTGCAGAGAAAAGCATTATTGCCCCTGTTAATAGAATAAACTTTAAGTATTAATAGAATGGGAAAAATGATTTAGCTCACAAAATCATGACCCCTTGTCTTCTCAGCTCTGATACTCCTGGTGAAGCCCCCAGTGACCAGAAAAAGGGAAACATTGCATCATTTTAAAAAAGGGTAGAAAGGAAGACCATGGGAACTGCCAACTTGTCAGGCTCACCTCTGTGCCTGGGAAGGTCACAGAACAGAGCCTGCTAGAAGCTCTGCTAAGGCACAGGGAGGTGATTTGAAACCATCAGATCATCTCGTTGAAGATGTACCTGCATATTGCTTAGACTCTAAAGATGAGCTTTTGAGGTCCTTTCCCATCTAAAGCGTTGTATGATTGTAAGATTCAAATTTAAAAACAATGTGGAAAACTAGAGGGAAACAAGATACCTTTGATTTGCTCTTGTGACATGAAAACATGAATCTGGAAAAACATTTCTAAAGCCAAGGGCTGACAGTGTCCAAAAGAGCACAATAGTCAAAATTTCTAGGAAGAATGTGTTGCAGCACTCCAAAAGTGGATGACATGGACATGTTTTCAACCAGCCCTTGAATGTGCCAACCAGCAGCATCTCCAAAAATTCTGAATCCAAATCTCTTCTTCAGTTATCTCCCCAGCCGAGTAGGCACACTGAGCAGTATAGAATCATAGAATCATTAAGATTGGAGAAGACCTCTAAGATTGAGTACAACCATCAAACTAACTCTGCCATATTCACCACTAAAACAGGTCTCCAAGTGCTATATTACACATTTTTTGAACACTTTCAGGGATGGTGATTCACTTGCTTCCTTTGGCAGCCTGTTCCAGTGCTTAGCAACCCTATCAGTGAAGAAATTTTTCCTAATATACAATCTTAACCTCCCCTGGCACATCTTGAGGTCATTTCTTCTCACCCTGTCACTTTTTCTTCAGAAGATGGCAAACTTTCAGTCTAGGGATTCAACATGCACATACACATACACATACCTCTCTTCAGGTGTTTGGCAGAACATCCATTCCACAGAGGGCTGGGGGTAGCTCTCAGATACGCACTTGATAGAATCTGAATTTTCCCTTTTCCTGAAATAGGGTCTGGCTGGTTTTTCTGATAAAAGTCATGCAAAAGTTTAAGAAAGCTGAAATAATTTTGAAACAGTGTTTTGCTCATTTTGTAGTACATAAAGTTTCAGAGCTGTGATTTGTTTCAGGAGTTTCAAAACTGAGGGAACAGAAAACGCTTTAGCCTTAGGTGTATTGTGGGTTGGTCTCATGGGCTTTTCAGCCTTGATTGCTAAATGCACAGCTTCCCTGAACCAAAGGCCTGCCTCTATGTGCCAGGGGAAAATCCTGAGGCTGATTCTGAAAGGTGTTAATTTGCTGTGGTTGCTATTCATTTCACTGGGCAGGAGCACCTGTGATTTTGAAATCACATCCTAAGCCCATCCTTGGTGGAGTATCTGTTGAGACTACAAAATCTGTACACAAAATGGGGTTTGCTCAGTCAGATCAGATACATGATGGAGACAGAAGGGGTGATAATGACTTCTGATAACCAGCAAACTTCTCTACCCTGCATCTGTAACTCAGAGGGAAATGATTCCTAGACAATTCCCAGCATCCTGAACCTCTCAGGTACAGACCTGGACTAGGAACAAAAAATTTAATGTATTAAAACTGCTAAAGGTTTGACTCAAAATGAAAAGCACTGAGTCCAGTTTTAAGTCATCTTTCAAGGATAATGCTGCTGCCACATGTAAAAACGACATTTTCCTCAATCATACTTTCATTGTGGGCAAGGTGACGCACTAAGGTGAAATAATACTCATGGCTTTGTAATTTCTTTTCTCATTTATGTCTAAGAGGTTTTTTTTACCTACAGAGATTCACATCCGACTTGAAGGATTCACATCTAGCCTGAAGGGTTTTATAAGAGATGTAATTATGACATTAAATTCACTGGACTAAAGAGAAAGCAATCCAAGCAATTGATATGGACAAGATCTTTACTGACATTGTTTCAAACTATTCTTGCTTGCACATGTAACAACACTTGTTACCTCTAAGCCTAATTGATATAGAGATGGCATTCTTGATGAAAGGTTTAATACCTTGTCCCCTCAATGAAGTTGTTAAAATTATAATTGAAGCATGCAGTAAGCTTTTAAATTAAAGAAGGAGAGATTAGAGGTTACTTTCTGAAACCAGAGAGAGAGAAAAAAGTTAAACAGAAGAAATACTTAAAAAACAACTAAAGAGGGAAAAACATGTTGATTACTCACAGTTTATTAAAATCAAGGCAAGTAATGAGCTTGTTAAACCTGGAAGGATTCGCTAGTCTTTTAGCTGTTTGGATTGAGGTTTTGCCTTTGAAATTTCTTTTTGCAGTTTTACATTTTATCTTTAAATTTGTCCCTTTCCAGATAAAATAATATAATATCCAGATAAAATAATATAATATTTCTATTCTGTTAAAAAAAAACTCATGTCACTATATGTCTTTATGGGTTTTTTTGAGATGTTTTTGGGCATCCCTAGTTAGAAACAGAAGCTTGCACTTTGTTGCAGCTGTTGCCTTTGCATCAGAGATGTCTCTTGTGTGAGCCTTGAGAAAACTCAATCAAATCCACTCCCACTGGGAGCCTTTCAAAAAGTTGCACCTCACAGGTGCTCACTCTGTCATGAGCATTTAACAGCAGCTAAAACCTCAGCTTCTCAGGCACATTTATGTTAAGCAGCTGCGGAACTGATGTGTTTTGCTTTTAAAGACAATGAACAAGTCAAAGCTGGCGCTGAGAAGAGGGACTGTTTTCTTTCCCCTTTCCTCAGTGGACCTCTTGCCACTCACAGAATTGTAAAAGGAAAAGCAGTGAGAAAAGTGAGAGGCCCAGCAGCAGGGACAAGTGGAAAAGTAGCAGCAGGTCAAAGTGTGACCAGAATATAAAAGGGAAATCCTGATCTGGTCCAGATTACAGCCCAGTTAGCAACACCAACAATAAACAGGTGAAAATGAAAGCAAACAAATCTAGCCCAGGAGCATTGAAAGCACGGAAAAAAAAAGCCACCATCAGTTTGGCCCTTTTGACAGACGGGAATTTTTCACAGGCGAGAAGAAAGCTTCTGCACATTTACATCTTTATTCACTCATTTGCATGGTTTATTGACTAGAGAAAGCTGACTCACATGGTTTGTGGCTCTGACTTCAGCCTCCAAGACAGCTCCAAGTGCTATGCTAATCTAGGAAGATGCTTGAAGTGCAGCACATGAAAGCTTCATTGCTTTGACTGAACTTGAGCCTCTGCCCTTGAACCTATTGATTGAATGACCCCTTTCATGTAGACATACTTACTCCGGATGAGAACAGGCACAACTACTGTGTAATTGCCAGTTTTACTTGTGACCAAGAGGGTGTATTTTCCAGCTTGTCCTTCTTTTATTTGAGAAAAAGCCAAAGATGTAATATATCTATAAAACAGAAAGTAAAGTTGTATTTGTCACACTAATATGAAGAAGGTAATATGCGGCACACACAATTAAGTGTTAGCTCTTTAGCGCTTGCAAAAACCCTTCAAAGACACTGCTATTCGTTATTTACACAGTGCCCTTCAACCTGAAATACTTCCTTCATGTGTCTTCCTCTCTGAGCTAGGAACTTACAGCCACAGTACCACATGCTTAATGCTGAGCATTGGGAAGGATGGCTTTCCTGAGCTTGAGGCAGTTCAGGAGCTCCACAGCCACATGCTTTACCTACAGTCTCATTCTACAAGTTTTGCATGAGGAGGCAATTCTGGAGCCTCAGGTTCCAGTCCAGGTTTGGTTGTGAGAGTTAGAATGCTGTTGCTGCTGTTCTTGATCTGCACTGTGATCCTAAAAGTCACATAATTCTTCATGCCTCTGTTTCTTTGACTAAAAAATCACAAATTTTCCTCATGAGCATGGCAAAGCTCAAATCCATTAATGTCAGAGAGTGCCTGGAGACTCCCATGCAGGATGCTATACAAATTAAAAGAACAAGCTTGTTTAAAAATGTTCTTGGTTCAATGTGTACATTGATCTAAATGACAATCAGTAATGTGCTGCTGGGTGACAACAGCTAAGGATTAAGAGATTGAAAAAGATAATGCATACATGAAATCGAACACAGGCACAGTCACAGAAAACATTCGATTTACATTCTAAAAGAAAAGATCTCTTAAAGGATCTTTGATCCAGTACATCCCTTGACTTACCTGTTCTCTGAGTCAAAAGAAAGTTTACAGGCTTTGCTCTTTTTAAAGAACCAAAAGCATGAAGTTATATTTGAAATTCTCATTGTTATTATTAATTCAATATCTTCAAAAACATTGACTTCCACATCTTTTATTGTTTGGTAGATGTTTTCTGTTCCTTGAGAATTCAAGTAACACCCAAGATCTTCCAAAATATTAGGAACCTGCAATGCAGGACAGACTGTTAGGTATTTATTAGCAGTTAGCTTTATTTGCCTTTTTTTTTTTTTTTTTTTTGCATTCAGATATTTTTAAAGGATGCTCTTTTTTAAATTTCTACCATCAAACCTATTAATAAATATGTTGAATGACATATTCATCTATTGAATGACATATTTCCTCTATTTCATGAGGAAACTCTATAGGGTTCCTGTTGAATCAGTCAATTCTGTTCTCTAGACAAATACTACAGAACAATCTAGCCAGAGCCATGATAACTTCTGTTAGTGATATGGGTTATTTTTTACACTTGATTTTGTTTCCTTTTATTTAGAACCACAGGGAGACACAGAACTATAATAAAATCTTTTTGCTTGCAACTTGGATGCAAAGGCAGGGTCAGAATTTTGGGTTTATTTTAGCATCTCACTGCTTGTCACTGCATCATCTGGCTAGACGCTCCTCAGCTCCTTGGGGGCTTTACTGGGTAAGGAACATTGGGTCTGGACGTTGTCGTATTTTTCATTTCCTCACCCCTGTGTACAGCTAAAGGGGAATTGCAAACAGAAACAGAATCTTCCACAGTCATTCTGAAAGCCACCAATGGATTAGTGAGCCTCTAAGATTAGCTGCAGCAAAAGGTGGCAAGTAAGGAGCTCCGTGTGAAGAGGAGCCCTAAATGTCTCCATTGCTTTGTTGGGTGTATTTTATCCAGCATAAGTTTATGAAAGGACAGAGTTCATTGCATCCCCATTTTACTTGTTTGATTCTTCTCATGCCTCTCTCCTTTCTCCTTTCTGTTGACCTGAGAAGTACCCAGAAATAACAGCCATATTCTGCCCTGTCAGATATAAGAACAGCTATACCTTCAGCTACAGCTACAAGGCTGCTATACCTCCGTTTGTTATTTGAATTACAGATGGATTCATTTGTTCAGGAATGAAAAAGATTTCATAAGACTTCCTTGAAACACGAATCTTCAGGAAATATTTTAACCGCAGGTCTCAGATGATTTATAATTTAGTTACACATCATCTCCACCTGGTTTTCTACCATTTTGGGTCAGAAGAGAAGAAAATGAAATTGTATTTATTCATTGTCTGGCTTTGGTGTCTAAGTCAAGGTTTTGACCTGGCAGGGATTTATGGGCTTTGGTGATGGGAATAGAGGGTAGTACAGCTTTCTGTCAGTCCCAGCAGCTGTGGCACACACATATCATGGCCTTGGCAGTCTTAAGGGCACATATTTTCATATCTATTTTCATATATATTTTTACACTGATGTGTTGTCAACAATATCCAGCAATATTCAGGCACGCTGATATAAGATAACATCAAGCTGTTAATAAAAGGCCAGTTTTAGAGAAAACTGGTACTTAACTATTCACCGTTTCAGAGTCTGAATTTTCAGATATGTATCCCTCTAACCTTCTGAAGAAATATTTGGCATAACCCTAGTGATTTTCTCTGTGATGTCCTCATATTCTAAAGGTTGAGGGTGTTGTAGGTTCCTGGGAAGGTATCCTGGAATGGGCAGGAACATTTTATAAGAAACTCATTCTCTATTGTATCACCTTAGGAGCTAGTGATGTCTCTGGTGCTTCTGAACCTTCATCCTTCTGGCTGATAAACCCACAAGTGATCTCAGAGGTATTTTGAGTCATTGTAGAAGTGAAAGCAACTGCTGTCATAACAAAAACTGCAAAACAGAAATAGAAAACACATGCAATAAAGTCTAGATCTCTGCTATGGGATAGTAGTTTTAGGTAACATACAACAAAACTGTAGGAAGATTACATCTTTAGAAAAAAAGCCAAACTGAATATGCAGACATACTGTATGAATTTGCTAACTCTGCATTTGTGTGTTGAAGCTGAGTGGAAGCTCTGTTTGGAGAACCTTTCAAAAGCACAGGCACATCACACTTTACAAGTATGTCCCATAATACCACAGAGAAAATCTACAGACAAAAGCCACTATGTGTTATAGAGGCTCCTTTAGAAACAGCATTACCAAACACAGATGCTCTCTTGCACTTCCCTTTTGCATCCTTGTGCTGGAAAGCACCAAACCCTGCAGCACCAAACCCTGCAGCACTGAGATGGAAGATGATCATGCCCACTGTGAGATGGAGGATGATCATGCACCTTCCTTCCCACAGAAGGCAAAGGCAAGGACTGGGAAAATGAGAAGCACTTGCTGTAGGAGATCAGGTTTGAAAACATCTAAGGAACCTGAAGGTGAACAAGTCCATGGGACCTGATGAGATATATCTGACAATCCTGAGGGAAGTGGCAAAGAAAGTGGGTAAGCCCCTATCCACCATATTTGAGAAACTGTCAGTCCTGTGATAGTCCCACTGATAGGAAAAGGGAAAACATAAGTCCCCTTTTCAAAGGGGAAAAAAACCCTACCTGGAGAACTACAGGACAGGCAGTCTTGGTGCCTGTCAAGATTATGGAGCTGATCCTCCTGGAAACTCTAAGAAGGTACATGGGAAATAAGGAGGTGTCTGGTGACAGCCAACATGACTTCGCTAAGGGCAAATGGCACCTGGCAAATCTGGTTGGTCAATGATTGGTTAAAGGCTTGATGTCCAAGCAGAGAGCAGTGACGAGTGGTATTCCTGAGAGGTCGGAACTGGGACCAATATGTTTTAACATATTTTAACAATTTATCTTTGTCAATGACATGGACAGTGGGATCAAGTGCACCCTCAGCAAGTTTGCTGACGACACCAAGCTGTGTGCTGCAGTAGACACACTGGAGAGATGGGATGCCATCCAGAGGGGCCTGGGTTGGCTTACGGGGTGAGCTTGTGGGAACCTCAGGATGTTCAATAATGCCAGCAGCAGGGTGCTGCACCTGGGTCAGGGCAAATCCAAGCACAAACACAGGCTGAGTGGAACGTTGATTGAGAGCAGCCCTGGGCAGAAGGACTCAGGAATGTTGGTGGATGAGAAGATGAAAATGAGCTGGAAGTGTACACTTGCAGCACAGAGAGCCAACTTCATCCTGGGATGCATCAGAAGCAGCGTGGCAGCAGCTCAAGGGAGGGGATTCTGCCCTTCTGCTCTGCTCTTGTGAGACCCCACCTGCAATGCTGTGTTCAGCTCTGGGGTACAGAAGGACATGGAATCATTGGAGCATGTCCAGAGGAGGGCCACAAAGATCATCAGAGGATTATCAAAGATTAATCTCCTGTGGTGACAGGTTGAGAGATTTGGTGCTGTGAGAAAAGAAGGGCCCTTCTGAGCACCTTGCAGGCACCTTGCAGGCACCTGAAGGGGGCCAGAAGAGAGCTGGAGGGGGACATCTTACAAGGGCAAGGGGGAATGTTTCAACTGAAAGAGGGCAGATTTATATTACATATTAGGAAGAAATTCCTCATTAGGAAAGTGTTAAGGCACTGGATGACGCTGCCTAGAAGAATTGCGGTTGCCCCAAGTAGCAGAAGTCCTTTATCCTTGTGCATAAAGGGCAGTGTGAGAAAGATTCTGATGCCTCAAAGGCATAATCTCTCCAGAATGCTTCCTGTAAGCCTTTCTGCGGGACTGCAGCTTGAAAGGTCACCTTTCAACCTTAAAGGAGCTACAGTAACCATGTACCCACCACTACACCAAACAGAAGTAAGACTGTACAACTGGCTGGGTGAAATGTGTCTGATTTCCATTAAATCCCTAAAGCCAGCCATCAACAGTACAAATAAGCAGTGAATCATAAAATAACATCTTTCTCCTGGCAACCTGAAATATTTCTGCCCTCAGACCTTGGCGTTTTTCTTTGTTTTCTTTTTCCCCCCCTCAGTTCCTAAGATGGTTGCACATAAATCTAGGTGCAGAGTTGAAAGAAAGAAAGAAGGTAAATATATCACAAAGTACTTGATGGACGAATATGATGAGTCTCTGCAGGCAACGAAAGAGCAAAACTGGAAGTAGGAAGAAATGAGTTAGAGTTGTTGCCATCTCCTCCTTGCCATTTGTGTCTTCTGGAACCATCTGAGCTCTGAGCTGGCAACACTTTGACAACCTCTTCTCCTTGACGAAGTGTATTAAGGCTGAGTCTTCTTCATTCAGGCACCCAACATACACTTCATTTTGGTTGCCACCTTTCTGCAGCATGCACAGGCAATGGTCTGCTTTTGCAGATGTCTGAGTAAAACCCTGCATGTTATCCCTAAGAAAGATGAACGTGATTTCCTTGTGGAGACGTGTATCCCCACCCTTTGACTATAAAAATAATAATGGCACTTTTTGAGACGGAGTGCCAGCGGGCAGCTGAAAGGCAGGTATGCGTTAGGTATCTACACCAAGCATGCTGAATTCCTTCCATCAGTGCAACTCCGGTTCCTAGCTCCCTCCCTAGCCTTTCACCAGGTCCTTCTCTGCTCAGCATTCTCCACTTCTATTCATTTCTTGGCTGATTCTGCTTTCACACTTTTCAAAGCAGAGACCATTCACCTCGCTCACGGCCAGGGATTTAGCTCATGGAAACTCTCCTATGTCCTCTGATTTCTAAAACACACCAGCAGAAACCACCTGAAAAGATGACCTCAGAAGCTCAACTCGTTCGGCTTGCTGAGTATTCCCTTGCTTTATGTTTCTGATTTCTGAATTTTAACTTCTGATTGTACAAGCTAAGCCCGTGTATCTCAATGTGGAATGACTATTTTGCTCATGTTGCCTTGTCAGAGGGAGATCTAAGGCCACAGCAGAAAAAGGAAGGGTGTATTTAAACACCAACAGGGAGCAGATTTGCAGCCAAAAGTTAGACAGCTGTAGCAACCACACTGTGAGTGAGACATGCAAAGTGTCTGATGAGCTGGAACTGCGTCTGTAAAGGATGGTGTGAGGGACTATGCTGGAAGCAGTGAGCACCCTGACACCCTCATGTGTAAGTAAAAATGTGATTCCTTTTAATGTAAACTGCAACGGCTTGCCACTTCTGTGGTGTACCTTTATTCCTGTGAAGGTTTTTAGGGTAAGGAAGGATGTTTTGAACCTGACATGATTCCAGATGCTTTACAGTGAGAAACAAATGAGTACTATGATAGCAAGAAGTATTTACATGATATTGAGTGGCCTAAATTTGTGTAGGTTTTGAAGACTTGTGTAGGACAAAATAGAATATCACAGCATGAATGAGCCTTTCAGAAAAAGTAAAATCAAGAAAAGAAACACTGGAAAAATGGCAATGTTCTGATTCGCCATCTTGATCTTTCAGCTTCTACAGCTCTTCAAGGGCTGCTGTTATGGTCTGCACATCAGTCATCCTCCTGAAAACCCAAATTAAGAACTGCAGAGACTGAAAGCACTGGGTGAAGAATATCAAATATGTAGCATGCATAATCATATTGTCTATTGCTGAACTAGAGTGAAGCTGAAATGAAAATAAATTGCTGCCTCTGAACAAGGTTTGTTTATGCCTGCTTTCCATCTTCATTATCTTTTTATAGGTTATACAAAAATAAAGGCAGTAGGAGAAATCTTGTTCTCACTGCAGTCAGACAAACATCTAGCTGCCATAGACAGAGCCAAGACTTCATCAAGATGTATTGGCACATACTTGGGGAAATGCCTGTAAAAGGCAAAAAGGGAGCTTACGTGTTATGGTGCTGACAAGAAAGGCCTGAATCTACTGGGGAGATACCAAACCAAGGAGCTCTGTTTAAGCTGGTTCAGCTATCAGATGAATGCAACTGCTTCTGAAATTTTATTTTCAAATGGGGGATGACAAAAGTAGCCTTTGGAAGACTGGGAAAACCACTCCAAAATACACTGAAAGTCTGAGTTAACTAGAAAGACAATAGCTTGGAAACTGGAGAACTGTGAAAGATGAAAACCTTTCTCTTCATACCAAGGGATGCATCTTGTATTTGTATTCAGCTCAGGGTGCTTAATATTTTACATAGCAGTCAGGCCTTTCCTAGACATAGAACAATCTTCCACTCTGCTTTACAGCTTAGAAGATTTACATAAAGCAAACTATTATTTGGGTCTTATTTGGTCTCTGACTATGTCCTCTGGGTGTGACTCTCTGGATTAACTTTCCAAAATTTTCTTTGTGATCAGGGGAGGTAGATAGACCCTTTCTTCCAGGAAAACCGTTATGTCTGTCATGACTTGTCAGAAAAAAATCTTCAAAGTAGGGGCATGGATGAGCTTAATATTCATTCACTAACTCTTTAACATCTCCACTTTTTCACATGGTAGCCTTTTTCTCAAATCACCCCGAGTGTGGTAGATCCTGAAGTGAGGATTGTACCCAATACAAATATGCTAAAAATCAGAGGGAGGCAGGACAGTTAAAAAGAACTGATCTTAAATTAGATCCTACCTTTTAATCTCATTTCTCTCCCATCAAACTTAACTTTTGTCCTTCCTCATCTTTTTGCACAGCTTCCTTCCTCAGCATCTTTACCCTTTCAGCTTAACTCCCACATCAGAAAAACATGCACCTTGTGAGTTCGTTCTCATATGATGGTACAGGCAGAGGTGTAGCTCCGCATTTTGGAATAATAACCGTGTTAGAACAGGGTTTAACAAGCAAGGTGGGTGACAAGATGCCTCTGCTGCAGCTCATGCTAATTGTGACCAGCTGTTGTAACACTGGATGGGGTATGTCTAGGTCAGGAGCAGTCATTTATCCGGTCTTACCAGTTAATTACAATGAATGTCACGTGAATTGATATAATTATTCACAGTCGTGTTCAAGCACGATTGAGATTTGAGGTGGAAAGAAGCCTAGAGAGTGTGACGGCTCTATGTGGAGGGTTTAGAGGGAGGCAACAAGAATCTCTAGCAAAGACGAGCAAAACAGCAAACTGAGCAAAACAGCAGAGAGAAAAATGGAGCAGGGGACGTCCTGTGGTTTCAGAAAGCGCTCAGTTTGGGTCTGTGTACCGAGTCAAAGCTAATAACGGGGTCCAACACTGACACTATACGACATCCTGGAATGTTACCGTCACATGCCGTTTGCCACGGCCTGCAGCCCTTCGCGCGGATTACTTTCCCACCTGCATCTGCCACCACGCCCTCCCCCGCCCCCCAGCCCCTCTCCAATTCCTGGCAGCCGCGGCGGCGCGGGCACGGCGCAGTTTGTCCCGGGACGGGTCCG